AGGATGTGGGCAGGGAGGGAAGGGGGGCCCTGGAGAATCCGGGAAATCAGAGGGGAGAACACAGCACACACGAAACTGAGGACCTGACGCACGTCTCTCCGCCCTCAATTTTAGGGTCCAGTGTCCCAACTGGCCTGGGCCTGCAGGCAGGCCCCCACCCCTCCTCGACCCCCCAGGCCCCACTCCATCCTCGGGCGGCCTGTTAGCCTGGGGAAGGCTGCAGCCCCTCCTGGGGGTCCAGGTGTGCTGTGGGCCCTCAAGCGGGGCCTTCGCAGGGCAGCGCCCGGCCCTAGTGGTGGCCAAAGTGCCTTCAGTTCAGGTGATGCGTCTGGAGTGTCCTGCAGACCTGCCTAAACCAGGAGGATGTAATCAGCCCTCCCTGGATTCCCAAGAAAAAGGAGCCCACGTCTGAGCTCCCCAGGAAGCTGCAGTCCACACCCTCCACCAGCATGGCCCGCAGAGCCAGGCCCCCAGACACGCCCCCCACACCTTGCTGCGCTCAAACCTGAGCATTTCAGGGCCCCCGGCCCTCGGGGGTGTGGGGTCCCCCTTCCTTGGGCCCCCAGGGCGTTGGTGATGGCCCTCCTCCCCGGGTGGTGGGCGACGGGAGGAGGCTCCCATGGCCCCCGTGCCTGCGTGGCTAGAACTCCTAGAGACAAGCGTGACCACCTGGGACCTTAAGCACGCTCCTCGTACACGCCTCGCCCATCTCCCAGGTGCTGTCTCCGCCCTTCCCGACCAGGGGGGCTGGCCACCAGGAGGGGGAGGTGAGCCCTGGTGCCCCCGTGGGAACCCTGCTCCGCCCCCACCCCCCACGATGATGTGGGTTCTGAGGAGCCGGTGGACGACCAGCAACACCTCCTCAGAGCTGGGGAAGTCATCCCCTGACCACGGTCAAGGGCCCCGGGGGCAGGGCTGGTGCCTTTACAAAACCAAAACCAGGACGTGAGCGGCCTGAGGCGGGAGACGCGTCCACAGAGCTGACTGCGGCTGTAGGCCGCCATCCTCATCCTTCGCCGCGGAGCATGTCACATGTCACGTGCCTCGTGAGCGCCGAGTGCACAGGTCAGCACTGTGCAGCAGATTCACAAGCCCAGCTGTGCGGCCACTGGCGTGAACACACGTTAGGGCATCCTCGTCACCCCAGTGACCTCCCCGGAGCCCGTTCACCTGCGGGTCAGATCCTGACCCGCAGGTGTTGCAGCCTGTCCACCATGCTTTAAATATTTTTTAAAATGTTGCTAGCTTTTTAAAATGAGACAATTTCACATAAAACTTTAAAACTTTAACTTCTCTGGAAAGATCAGAAGATTGGGCAAAACCGTACCCTCCTTCACACAAGGCGAGACCAGGAGCTGCCCCTGCCAGACAGGCAGGAGCTCCCAGTCCCTCTGAAACCAGTGGGGGCTGGGAGGGTCCCGGACATGGCCGTCTCCTGGCCCCAGGCTCCAGGCTCCAGGCAGAGGGCCTTGGGCCACTCTGTTCTCACAAAGTTAATTCGTGGTTTTCACCAAAAAGGAGCCAGTCTCTTCACTTGGGCGACCCTCCCTGAAAGCAAAGCCACACGTCTTGTTTAGAAGCTTCGTAATTAGGGCTTGTCCCGGATGCGGGCGCACTTCCTCGCTCTCTTTGGGGTTCTCCTCTCTGCACACGGGGGGCCCTTCTCAAACCTTCCTTCTGGTTTCTGTTTGTTTGCTGGACTCAGACGCCTCTCTCCCTGGGCGCTCTTGACAGCTGATCAGAGGACGACTTAGTTATCGAGGTTGCGGATTGTCCACCACTTCCCGCTTTGCCCCTTACACTTTTGTTTAGAGTGTAATGCCTCCAGGGGAGGTGGACCCAGCCCCGGGGACCCGGCTTCTTGGACAGTGATTGGCTCGGAGCAGGCGAGTGACCTGCCTAGACAGAGACACAAGGGGATGGACGGTGACATTGGCTGGGGGCTTTTGGAGCAGACCCCTCCCTTCCCCGCCATCTTTGCTCATTATCACAGTGGTATGTGACGCTCAGCGCGGCTGCAGCCACCTGGGGATCACGCGGGCAAAGCCGGGAGGACCACAGAGAGGCTGGACAAAGCCCCGAGCCTGCTGAGCTGCCTGGTGGCCCAGACGCCTCCTTCTGGACCTCCTGTCCTGAGATCAGATGCCCTGTTGTTTGGGCCACTTTAGTTACTCATTCTGTTATTTGAAACCAAAACCCCGAGTCCTGTGGCCAACGCCAGGACGGCCCCCGTCTTCCACCACCTACTCAATTCGTTACCATATTTTGGGGTGCATTTCTCATGTTCAAAGCTACAGTTAACCACCTGATGTTTAAATGTTTGTTTTTAAATCTCAAGAGATGAGTTTTGCCTTAACTCCAGAGGTTTTGTGTAAATAATATGCCCTAAAAACTGGCTCACGAAGGGCTGCGGGGCAAACCAAGGACACAGCCAAGGGCAGACCCACCTCAGCAGGTCCGAGCACCAGCAACCTGGGCCACACCCACAAGCAGGCGGCCTGCGTCACGCGTCACGCGTCCCACGTCCCACGTCCCACGCTGGCTTTGCAGACCTGTGAAGTGGCTTTGCGAGCTGCCAGCCTCCAACCCACCACTTCTAATTAGAGGATTAACAGCCCCTTTGTCGGGAAGGCTCCAGCTGCTCCAGGCCCCACCTCGCCCAGCACCTGGGGGGACGGGGTTCAGTGTCCCCAGTGCTGGGGTGATAAGGGCCAGCCCCGAGCACACCCACCATCGCCGGGCACAGAGCTTTAGCCAGCGGAGCATGAGCTTCCATCCGCGGAGCGGCCCGGTGTCCCTGGGGTACCCTGTCCATCGGGGCCGATCCACAAAGCCCCTCCGCTAAGTGGGTAACAACAGTCCCCATTTCACAGACGGGGACCCAAGTCTCAAGGGGTTCAGATGACTTGCCCGAGGCCGAGAGGCTGACGGCCTACAGCGCTGGTCTCTGCCTTCCTGCCACCTTGCTCCCGGGCAGGTCCTTGAGCTGTAACTCGCAGCTCTCCGGCTGGCTGCTCTCCGGCAGTGGGGCTTTTGCACCAGAGTCCTCAGTCTGAGCCCACCTCTCAAGCCCCCAGCTGGTAAAGGAAGACCCTTCTGTGTGGCACACAAGCTGAGATTCATCCCAGTAACCTGCTAGGGGAAGGCCAGCCCCCCTCGCCCACCCTGGAGACAGCCTTCCGATGGCACCTGCACTATAAGGTGGAACCAGAGCCTGCACCTGGGTGCGTTCTTGCCAAGACGTTTTAATCGGAATCTAATCAGGCCTTTTAGGTCTGATGCGCAGTTTAGAAACATACAGAAAAAGGAACAAGTGAAATGACCCAACAGGGACATAATTAGACAAATTTACAGCATGGAATACCACACACGAGAGCAGAGCCGCGTCTTCCAGACTCAAAGACATACTAAAAGGAGAATCGATTATTTTGGATTGAAATAGATTCAAGATCAACAGAATGCAATGCACGAGCCTTGATTTCAAGAAACCAGCTTCAAAATATATTTGGGGGCAAATGGGAAATGTGAGTATGGCCTTGTTGTTAGATTGAATCAAAAATTATTCTCCTTTTGTTAGGTGTGACAATGGCATTGTGCTTATAAGGCCAACATCCTCACTTTCTGGGGAAATATTTGAAGGATTGAAGCCACTGTGTGTGTAATTTACTTTAAGAGGATTCGGATACACAGACATGAAGACAGGTAGGTAAACAGGTGGATGATGGACGGAGCAAATACAGCAAAATATCAAGTATCAATAGATTGTGTTTCAAATACAATAAAAGTGGGGGAAAAACCTTTCATCGTGCAAAGTTTATAAACTGAGTGAAGGTGACTGTGGGGTGGAGACTTGAAGCCAGGGCCCCTGTTGGTCCTGTTTTGCCCACCTGGTCCCCTCTCTTGCTGTTTCAGCCTGGACTCTTTGAGGCTAGAATGAGCTTAGAGACTGGGAGACCCCGACACCCAGACCAGGCAGCACTGGTTCTGAGGCCGGACGGCCACGGCAGGCTCCTCACTGCGTCCTGGAGATGAAGACACAGGCAGACCCTACACAGAAGAGCGGAAGCCCCTCCCGGGCATCCGTCCCCGCGGGCAGAGGAGCAGAGGTAAAAGCACAGTGAGGGAAACATGCACCACTCAACACTCAGACACCTTCAACCTGTACAGTGCAATGTGCCGATTGTGTCCCAGCAAAGCTGGAAAAAATGGTAACCAGAAGCGAGACTGGAGCCTGAGGTTAGCAACATTCACCTGAGTAGAAAGTCCTCCCTGACCATGAAGGTCAAAGCTGAGGGTGGTCCTGTTGGTGGGAATGTAAACTGGTGCAGCCACTATGGAAAACGGCATGGAGACTCCTCAAAACACTAAGAATAGGCTTACCCTGTGACCCAGCGATCCCACTCCGGGGTGTATACCTGGAGCGAACTCTAATTCCAAAAGACACCTGCACCCCAGTGTTCATAGCAGCACTATTTGTAACAGCCAAGACATGGAAACAACTTGAATGTCCACCAACAGATGACTGGGTAAAGAAGCTGTGGTGTATTTATACAATGGAATACTACTCAGCCATAAAAAGACTAAAACAATGCCATTTGCAGCAACATGGATGGACCTGGAGACCATCATTCTAAGTGAAGTAAATCAGACAGAGAAAGAAAAATATCATGTTTTATCGCTTATATGTGGAATCTAAAAAAATGACACATGTGAACTTACTTACAGAACAGAGAGAGACTCCCAGACACAGTAAACAAACGTATGGTTATCAAGGGAGGGAAAGAGTGGAAAGGGATAAACTGGGAGTTTGAGATTTGCATATACTGACTGGTATATATAAAATAGATAAACTAGTTTATACTGTACAGCACAGGGAACTACATTCAATACCTTGTAGTAAGTATAATGAAAAAAAACATGAAACGGAATATATATATGTGCATGCATGACTGAAACATGACGCTGTGCACCAGAAATGGACATAACATTGTGTACTGACCATACCTCAACTAAAAAAAATGGGACAAAAATTTTTAAAAATTAAAATAATAAAAAAACAGCAAGTCAGTATGATTTTCTAGGAATTTTAAAGTTAAAAGAAAAAAACCCTGAGGGTGATGTTTCCCAGGACAACTAACAGATTTAGCACAAACTTCATAAAATACCAGTGAACTACTTTATGGAATGAGACCAAATTATCGCTCAGCTCTTATGGGAAAAGAAGTGGCCAGAAGCGCAGCCTTGACGGACACATTCGGAGGCGGTAAGCTCCCTGAGGAGGACGGTCATGCTGGCTCCTGTGCCGCCCAAGTCCCCATCACTGCCACGGGGCCTCGCACACAATAGGTGCTCGATTAAAGAAAAAATCAGGGGCGAGGGTACAGCTCAAGTGGCAGAGTGCATGATTAGCATGCCCGAGGTCATGGGTTCAAGCCCCAGCACCTCCTCTAAAATAAATAAATACATGAACCTAATCACCCTAAGAAAGAAAAAAACCAATGGACACAAGCAAACAACAAAGTCAACCCCAGAAGGCTGGCTGCCTGCACTGACCAGAAAACCCCACGCTGGCACCGCGGGGGCAGAGTGTCATCTGGGCTGACGCCGCCAGCAGCACAGAGAGTGGTGGCTGGACCCCAGCCAGCTCCGGAGCATCGGGGGCAGGTGCTGGATTTCCTCATGGAGAAAGTCTGGGGCAGGAACTGCAGGGCTGGGCCTTCGGGCATCGCCGCCCAGGGATCGGCCTGGACTGCCTGGCATTTCTCCAGTCGGCCCGGCCTTGGGGGTAAAGCAGACACGACCTCAAAGACCGACTCCCCCCAAAACTGGAAACATGAGTGTAAATTACCCCACCCCCGTGAAGATGGAGGTTGTAACAGCACCTCTCTCATAAAGGAAGCCAGTAAGACAGTGTGTGTAACGTATTGGCCAAAACGTGCGGTGGGCGCAGCGGGGACTCAGGAGACAAGAGCAGCCACTGTTGCTGTTACAATGCTAAACACAGTTGACAAAACACATGTAAGGACCACCTGCTTTAATACACTTCTTGTTGCCAGTTTTCTTAAATGTAAGGAAGAAATTCCACTGTCACCTTTGAAGGCATTCGTCAGTCAATGGGATGATTTCCCTTCCCGTGTCCTCTCAGGCTGCAGGGAGGACGGGGGAGGTGCGGGGCAGAGCTGTCCTCTAATGGCTTCCAGCCCACCCGCAGCTCAGTTGGCTCCACGGGGACCAGGGTGTGCTTGTGTTTCTGTTCTCCTTTGGGTCCAGCAACACCACTCACAGAGTAAGTGCTCTAAACCCATCTGGTAAACCGAATGGAACTCCATCTGGTGCTCAGGAGCCCTGGCCTTGCTTCTGGAAAGAGGAGCTCAAGGAGCCTCTGCGGGGGAAGGAGGACGTGGGGGAGGGGTCTGGTGACATCCACACAGGAAATGCTCAGGAAAGTGGTCCTCTGGCACCTCTGCCTTTGGAGCCCCTGACCCAGAGGGAGCGAAACTTCCAGAGCTCCCTCACCTGGGAGTTCTGCCTGGGGCTTCGGCGGAGCACCTGGGTTCAGGAAACGGCTGTGTCACTGACACCACTGGGCGGTGATTTTACTGGGCTACCTAGTCTTTGGAGAAGGAAATGGGCTGTAGACAAAGATATTAGCATCCTAAAAGGAGAAAAGCCTGGGGGGGAGGGTAGAGCTCAGTGGCAGACTGTGTGCTTAGCATGCATGAGGCCCCGGGTCCAATCCCCGGCGCCGACTCTGAGAATAAATAAACCTAGTTACCTACACCCCCCAAAAAACCCCAATAATTAGAAGGAGAATATCCGTCAGCAGAAAAGGACCCAGAAACGGAGGCTGGGACCCGCTCAGAGGGGCTTGTCTGCCCTGCCCGCCCGACTTGTTAGCAGCAGAGCAAGGACCACCGAGAGCCAGGCCTTCCGCTCCCACAGCCTCTCCCGCGACAGTCCCTTTGCCCTCAACCCGCAGACGGGCATCTGACTGCATTCCGTCTGTCCTGGATCGCTCAGTCTTTTCGTCCTTCCCGCCCGTGGGCACCTCGCAGCTCCGAGGGGCCTCGTGCCCAGAGCAGAAGCTGGGACTGTGGGGCTTCTGAGATGTCGTTCCGGCTGCTTCAAGTGCCAGTGGCCACTGACGGCGTTGGAGACGGTGACAGTCCCCGCCACTGGCCCAGTGCCCGAGAAGCAGACCCTTTGTCAGCAGAGGTGCCAGCTTTGTGCTGAGAGCGGGGAGGAGGGAAAGGCACTGGCTGGTGGAAGTTCCAGCACACGCTCTCAACGAGAAAATAGTGAGGCAGGAGGAAGAGCCAAAGGGGAAACAAACAAACCCTGGGAGCCACGCTGTGAGGGAGCCCGGCTGCTCTGCGGGCTGTGCCGAGGGTGGGAGCTGCCGTCCAGCCCAGCCCCCAGCAGTGCGGCAGGTAAATGAGACCCAAGGCGGGCCTGAAGAGGGCCGGTGGGCGAGGCTGCCCGGTTCTTGGGCAGTTGAAGTCGGCCCTGGAAAAAGGGAGGGGGCTTGGTGGCTATCACGGGTTTGGTCGGGCGGTGCCAAGCCTGGAGGTAGCTGGTTTGGCCCCCAGGGACCGGGCCAGCTCACACAGGGGACGCAGCAGACCCAGGCCCAGCAAGACTGAGTTTGTGCCACTCCACCGTGGGGCAGGAAGGAGGAAGCGAGGAATTTGCACAACAGAAACTAGCATATGGGCCCCAAAGAGACCCTTCCGAGCAGGGGGAGGGCAGCCCCCTAGGGTCACTCTGGTGGTTTTGCTTGGGTTTCAGAACCTGTGGCTGGGGCGGGACCACAAGGGCCAGTCTGCTCCCAGCTGCCTCTGTCTCTCTCTCAGGCTCCTGGACACAGAACAGCTGAGCAGATAAACAAGTCACCAGCTGCTCCCTCCTCCCCCACGACACCTCGGTCCCCAAGTCCCACTCCTTCTCGCTTCACTCCTCCCTGAAGCCAACCTCCCGCAGCAGCAGCTGCAGCCTGCCGGTCCCCTCTCGCAGTCCCCTCCCGCGCCCGCTGCCCACGATGGGGCCAGTGCAGCATGTGGAGGAGCCCGGCCCCTCCCCCGGAGCCATGCAAACAAAACAGTGGTACTTTCTGAAAGTGATTACGGAGCCCGGGGGCCCCCCTGAGGAAACGGCACTGAGTTCATGGCCCCACCACAGTCCTGGAGACAGTGTCCGGCCACTTGGCCCGGAGTCCTGTGCCAGGCCCAGGAAAACCGTGAGGAGGGGTTCATCTGAGCAGAGCCTGGGGGGGCCCCTCTGCCCAGACTGCAGGGAGGAGGCCTAGGCCCAGCCTCAGCCTTGAATAAAGGCCACATGGCGCTGGTAGCGTGCGTGCACCCACACACATGCACACACACGCACACACCCACACCCTCATTAACAAAATTAAGGCCATCACGACAGACTCCGGGGCTGGCAGTCAGAGCTCCGGGTCGGTCTGTCTAACAAGCCCCCAGTGCCCGTGTCGGCACCAGCACAGGCCTTGTCCTGGAGGGCCTGGGGGTGCCCTGCGCTGGGTGGGGAGACCCCCAGAGGTTTCCTCTGCACTTTAGATGTTCAGCTCATGTGCTGCTGGCTCACCCGTGTTCTGAGAAGCTGAAGGCCCTGCGACTAGGAGGATACACCAGCCTGTCTTTGCCTGCAGGCTTGTGCGTTTCCTCGGAGCTTGGCCTGCTCTCCTGGTCACAACGCAGGGGATGGTCTTTTTTGAGGAAAACAAACTGCCTTCCACTTGCCGACTGTGTCATATTCGTCTGCACAGCTCCGTGCTGTTTCGTGGGAGCAGCAGGAGAGCTGGGCTGGAGCCCGGCATGGCTGTGTGACCTTGGACCTGTTACACAACCTCTCTGAGCCTCGGTGGCCTCACTGGTAAAATGTAACCCCTCTTTATCTTCCAGGTGAGGTTAAGTGAGGAGGCAGCGTTAAAGTAAGGTAGGACATGAAACATCAGCATTCCACTGTGGCCCCTCTGGTGCTCAATAAAATCATTTCGGGTTTTGAATTCTGTGGGAGGCCAGAGGGAAACATCAGATGGGAAGTGGACGGTGCAGGCGGCGGAGTAAAGGTGCCGAGGCCGGGCCTGAGGCCCGAACGCCCCTCTCGACGAGGCCCAGGGGCGTGGGGGGATAGTTCGGGTCTTCCCTCCCCATCTGAGTTGGGCAGGTTCTCAGCCTCAGCACTTCTGACGCTTGAGGCCAGGTGATTCCTTGGTGTGGGCCCCAGGATGACAATCAGGATGTCTCTAGAGCTGGCCCGTGTCCCCGAGGTGAGGAGGGCACCGTGCCCCTGGTTGAGAGTGGCCACTATGGGCTGGGAGTCTTGGCTGCCCCGGGGAGTCCGAACCAAGGCCGTGCTCACGGCAGAGTCAGGAGGAAGGATGTCCCCAAGCCTTCCTTCCAGGACAGCAGCTCTGATGACCCCAAGCACCGTCCTGGGGAAAATCTCCCGCTCCGGGCCTTGGTCTCCCCTTGTTTGCAGAACCGAGGTGGCTCTCTTTAATGAACAGGGAAATGACTCGGGTGTAGGAGTCCGCTCTGCACCTGCCCTTGCCCTGCGGCTGAGCAGCCCCCAAGTCTGTGCAGCTGCTTCCCTGGCTGTGGAAGTGGGAGCGAGAGTCCCATGGCTGTGGGTCCCGTGGCTGCGGGTCCCACCGTGTGATCAAACCAACCACTGATGAGGGCGTTGCAGAGCTCCATCTGCCACTGCCAGAAATCGTCCCCAAGGTCCCCCTGCAGGGAAAGCACTGTGGGAGCTGGGAAGACCTCCCTGTTCCTTCCAGGGCTCACAATCTGGTTATGGAGAAAGATGATTTCAAGAAAAGGCCACACACAGAAAATGCCTCCCACTCTCCAGGGGCCTGAGCTGGAAGGTGGCTCCACCTCCAGGGGCCTTGGGGCAGGATCCAGGACCTCAGCTTCTTCATCTGTAAAATGGGCATAATAACAGCACGAGTCGCAGGGTAAATGTGAGACTTAAATGAGAGAACACGGTCCCGGCACATAATTAAGTGCAATGTAATTGTTAGCAGCGAACACTTGGTGGGGGCGCTGCCCCAGCCCCTGGGGACTCGGGGATGAGGTCGGGGCCTCCCTCTGGAGGGGCTCATGGGCGCTCTGAGGGCGCAGGGGAGGCATCGGCCCCAACTGTGGACGCTGGATGTGGTGGGGGAGGGTGACCATGCTGGACCTTGGAGCAGGGCCAGCAGTCCTCAGCCCAGAAGGAGGCAGAGCACTCCTGATGCGGGAAAGCTGAGCACACCTGAGCAAGGCTGCGCGTGGGGACAGGGCAGGGAGGGGAGCCGCCAACACGCAGCTCGGAGCCACTCCCCTGCTCTGGTTTCTGGTGCTGCTCCACCACCCACCGACTGCCTCGAATCCCACTTGAACACAGGTGGCGTGTAAGTGCATAGACAAGCCAGCTGTAACAGACAGAAGCGTGTGGGTGAGAATGAAGTCGGCCCAGTGGGGATGGGTGAGTTTGCCCTCTTCAGAGAGAGCAGCGTCCCCGGTTCCGGCAGGGGCCGACACCTGCAGGAGCGCAGCAAACCCAGGACCAGCGGACACTCGCCGGCCCAGCACACGTCTGGGTCCGTGTCGAGACTCCTAGCGCCACACGGCTCTACTTGCTGCTCCCAACGGCACCCTGACTCCCTCCAGACTCTGTGTCTCCCGTAACTGCCTGGCCCAGAGCAGCCACCCTGACGTCTGCGGCTTCAGTTCCCAGAGCTGGACCAGGACACCCAGCCCTGAGGCTCCACGTTGAGCTGACCACATGGAAGAGCCTCCTTTCCCTCCTCCGTCAGGAGCACCTGCTGAGTGAGAAGGAAAGAACTGCTTCGATGTCCATGCTGAGATCTGTGCACAGCCCGCTGTGGTCTTTCTCCCTGGAGGCAGAAGGCCGGGGCTGGGGGTGGGGAGTAGTGGGGTGCGCGCCTGGGGCCAGGGACGCGGGCTTCTGAGGGGCAGGGGGCAAACGCGGAGCGAGAGGCGGTACCTGGTCCTCACGTGCACCGCGTGGTACACCTTAACCTCATATGAGGTTGTACGTCAGGCTAATGTTAATAAAACTAGGAGAGGAAAGAGAAAGAGAAACAGGAGGCCCAGAGAATAGATGGGGTTTTGCAGACTGCAGAGGGAAGAGTGAGGGGGCAGGGGCGATGAGCAGGGGGGCTCTGAGCACCAGGCGCCAGCTGTCGTATTCAGAAAAGCAGAGAAGATGCAAGCCTTGACCGCGGGGCAGGAGTCTGGGCCCCAACCTCCGTGATGCCCAGTGGACCCAGCGCTGCCCTCAGCACAGTCGGGCAGGTGCAGGCGTCCTCCTTGGAAAGGCCTGGGGCGTGGGGCCGGCTCTGGGCCCCCCAGCCTGTGGACAGCGCAGGCCGTGGGCTCAGAGCGCCTGGACACTGCATCCCCAGGCCTCACCCTGCAGGTGGGCAGACGATGGCCCTTCCCCACCGGACACTGAGGAAAAGTGCAAAGTGAGGAAACAGACAGATAGGTAGACCCTTGGCCCTGAGTGTCCCCGAAGGGCAGACCTCGGTCAGCCTCCCATCTCCTCTGGCCCCTGCTGGGTGCCTGGCATTTTCCAGGACACTGAGGGGGCAGTCAGGGTGGCGTCTGGCGCAGATTTCCTCATGCTGTCACTCAGTATTAGGAGCTGCCCCCTGCCTGGCCCCACATTCAAACGAAACTGGGTCCCGTGTGGTCACCGAGGACACCCCAGCCTGGGTGAAACCAGGACTTGGGCGGGGCCTGGGACCAGCCCTTGCCCCAGACGCAGGCCCCCCAGGCCCCAGCCGAGCCCTGGCCGGGCCCCCAGACACAGGGCTCCTGTGCTCACCTTGGGACCCGCTCTGCTGTGGGCGCAGCAGGCAACTTCCCCAGGAGCGTCCCCAGCTGCAGCCGCCCGGCCGTCATAAACCCGCCACTCCAAGCGCCCAGGGCTTTTATCCCCAACCCCCCCAGCTACTCCTTACCCAGTTAATTAGGCCAGGAAGTGCTGGCAAAGGACACTCCCGGCAGGAG